AGAGAAATGGCTTTTGGGTTTGCAAAAAAGAATCCCAAAAATCCTGATGGACAGCCAACCCACTGAAAAATTGGAGGTACTAGTTAAAGCATGGCTGGCAGAAGAGGGATCAATAAAAGCTGTTGTCCCTGCTACAGCCCCTCCCCTAGAAGAACCACAAAAGGGGGAGGTGGTGGGAAACACTTTCATTCGTCCCCAGTAGATAAGCTGGGGGATGGAGGGTGGCTTCCTATCAGATGGCTTAACAAAAATTCCAAAGGAGACTTACTAATAACCTTTCAAAGTCCCCATAAACCTTTTTAAAAGACACTGGAGGTCAAATATCTGCCCTCAAGGTTGAAGATGCCCCTTGGTGTGGAAACATTCCCTCATGCAAAGGTATATTTGTTGTGGATGCTTTTGGATACACTCAACCCCAAATGACAACAAGGGTAAGATGCTGGTTGCCAGGGGAGTAGAAAGCAATCAAAGCCCTTATGATTTTGGGAAAATTTCCTAGAAATCTTTTGGGGCTGGACCTCCTAAAGGGAAGGTCTTGGACTGCAGGGGCTTTCAGGAAGGAAACCCAGCATTTGCACCTTCTAGATACTGCCCCTGCTCTTCCTCCCTCCCTAGTAACCAACAACAAACTTTAACCCTCACCCTTGGGAGCCAGAGAAGGAATCACCACAGTTATTGAGAATCTAAACCAAAGAGGAATAGTGATTACAACCCATTCCCCCTATAACACTCCTGTGTGCCAGCTGGAGATTAACTGTGTACCACTGAGGTCTTAATGCAAACACAGGGTCCCTCACTACAGCAGTCCCAAATATAGCCAAACTAATAGCCACCATACAAGAACAAACTCACAAAATTATGGTCATTACTGATGTTAAAGACATTCTTTTTATGGTTCCCCTGCAAGATCAAGATTAGGAGCGTTTTGCTTCTGTATGGGAAGGTCAGCAATACATTTTTACCTGCTCCCACAAGGGTTTAAACACTCACCCACTATAGCACACATCCACTGGTACAAGAACTGTCATTCATTCCTCCCACACCTGAGGTAAGACTATATCAGTATAACGATGATATTTTGGTAGCAGGAGATGAAATTGCACCTGTACAGATAATCCAAAAGAACATTACTGAACACCTAGAACCCCTGGACTTACAGATCCCTCCTGAGAAAATACAACGCCCTTTGCAAGAGGTAAAGATTTTGGGGATATGAGGGAGTGGGGGCAGTAGTCTGTATTCCCCAGACACCCTCACCTCCCTAGAAGATGCCTGAGAGCGGAGAAGATGTGCAAATGTGGGAGATGGGAACAAAGAAAGATACAGAATATGGAGACAGAACCTGCAAGATTCATGGGAAGAAGAAGCCTTTATGTGACAAACACTATGGACTGACATTATGGACTGTTGCTTAGCATTCAGTGTTTATTATGTTCTTCCCTATGTTGTACTCTCATGGTTTTATGAAAATTTCCCTAGTTGATTATTCCCTTGTGTTTCTGTTTTCTCATTGGCTGTTTGATGCTGTAGTGCAGATTCTCCTTAAAAGGCTAGTTCCCTCTCATGTTTTCCTTATAGAGATATGTTTCTTCCCTATCTTTCCTTGTACAGTTTCCATTTGTATATCTCCACTCAGTTCCACCCCTTGTTCCAGAAAGTTCTGCTCTCGCTCTATATAAGGTGGGAGCCATGTTAATAAAGGGCCTTCTTGCCTTTACAACACCATACCCTGAGGATGTGGAGGGCACAGAATGCAAGGAAGAAAAGTTTACTGAATGGAAGGCGACTGCAGGAAATTATGGCTGAAACAACAGATGAAGCTATGATTTGAAGATATATAACATGATACAATTCAAACAGAGACTGTTATTATTTAGAATTGTTAATGCATGTTCCCTATCTGTTGTATCACAGTTTTTATTGAATTTCATCATATTTTCCCCCTCAGAATAATACCCTTTTTTCCTATTGGTTCAAGTTTGCTGCATTGCAGATGTTTCCCTCATTGTCCCCTGCTGATCCCTTGTTCCCTCCTTTCTTCCCTGGTTGGTTTTCACCCCTGTCAGTCCTATGCTCCTCCTGTTTTCCAGAACCTTCCCACCTTACCCTATAAATAGAGCTAACCATCTCCAATAAAGGGAGATAGCCCCAAGTTATACCACTCTGCTTGAACCCATGGGTTGTCGAGTCTTCTTTCCACGTCAACTTCAACATGAGGAAATGTTTTTCTTTCCTTGTCGAACCATGTCATGCAACAGGCTTTGGGCCTGTTGGTCTTTTGGAGGAAGCACGTTCCCAATTTTTCAATAGTTGCAAGGCCCTTGTGCAATCTGCTGTGGAAGGGAGCAGAGTGCGATTGGACCCCCTTCATGATGAGGCCCTATAATTCCTAATTTTTGAGACTAACACACATCAATCACAAGACCCTATACACCCTTCTGATTCCAAGCAAACTGAGTGGCGATTTGCCAGTTCAGAACTGTCCAAACATTTATGGCAGTAAGGACACAGTAGTTCTACCCAACCATTGGATTTTACTCTCAAAGCTTTAAGGATGCAGAAAAACAGTATTCCACTTGGGAAATGGGTTGTAGTCAATCTTGCCCTCTGGGAAGCAGAAAGAACTGTCCGTCAACAATCAACAGTTTTAAGGGGTCCTTTTAAAGACATCAAAAAGGTTCTGTGGGATGGTCCAACAAGCTCCTGTTCAAAAGTAGTATGCCCAAATTAAACAATGTTGTACCATCTTTCAAGTAACAGAAGGAGCTTGCAAAAACATTCCCTTACAACATGAGGTAGCCCTGAACACCACAACTGACTCTTTATGTCCTATTATTTAGTTTGCTCCCCCATATTCAGAATAATTGCAGATGCCCAGCATCAAGGCAGAGTTGCCATGACAGGAAATCTTGGCTGCTCTTTCCAGATCTCAGGGTCAGGGGTGGGTTGGAGCTGGACACCCAGCGTGAGGTCAGACAACTTACTTGAAGGGCTTCCTAGTTCATTTGGGTTCATTTGGTGAATTCAGTCTTGAGTGGTTTGGTTCTACATTTCTAGTTGCCTCACAAAAAACTTGGCTGTGCTTTTCCTCCTGTTTTTGGCGACAGTGGGCTACTCCCAGCCGCTTGCCAAGGTGCTCAGGATATGGTACTGTGTTTGTTCCTGATGAGGGACAGTTACTTCTAATGAAACTGTCCCATGTTCTTTCTAAAGAGATGGAGCCTAAGGCTGTGCAGAAGGAGACCTTCCAGATGGGAGAAAGTGACAGAGTGCCAGTCTCAGGGGGAGAAAGACAGGCAGTGCCAGACACCAGCACATCAGGTAATTGCTGTCTGGGACTCACCAGTCAGAAACACTGTCGTCCTGAGGCTTCTCCCCAGCACCCGCTCCTGCTCATCCTGTCAGCAGCCAAACCTGGAGGTGTGAGCGCAAAGAACTTGTTGTCCAAGAAACCAGGCACAGCTCTTTGAGGTTGACAGCTGCCTCTAGTATGTGTGGGGAGGGTATGGCTGGTAGTGTGCCAGAAAGATGCTCACAGAGATCTCTCGACACTATTGTTTTTTTGGGTTTTTTTCTTATAGTTTTGGGTCAGGCAGAAAAGATTTTCTCAACACAACACTATTCCCTTTGAAGTGGCAAACAGTAACCGCTGAGCTGCTCACCCTCGTCCCTCACCTCTCAACAGCCAGCTCCAGCTCCTGCTCTGAACTGTCTCTCATAGGGTCTCTGCTGCCTCTGAGATTTCCACCTCCTGAGGAGGCAGCCCAAATTTCTTATTGAAAGAGAGGTTTGGCTCAGCCCTTTAATCAATTCCTATAAATTCTTGTCATGTAGCCATCCCCATTTGCAGCCCTGCAGATGCACGTGAATGGAGAACCACGGGAGACAGCCATTGCCAGATCATAGATGCCTCAGCTCCATATGAGGGAGCTAAGATGCCTACATGCCACTACACCAGAAAAACAGGCCTGGATTCAGCTGGGTGTAGTGAAATCCACCCCTGGTTTTCTCTTGGTCCTGATCTTGTGTGCGTCTCTCTCCTGCTCCCAGCCCCCATTCCGTCCGGCTCCGTGCCCCTGTTCTTTTTACTGCCTCTCTACCTTGCTGTCCATCCCAGGGGTTTTCAGCAGTCTCTCTCCTGCCACCAGTTCTCACTTCCTTGATCTTTCCTGCTCCCTCCTGCTCTTTCTGCCTCTCTTCCCTGCTGCTTCTTCCTCTAACTCTCTCCTCTTCCTTGAGCCGCTTTCCCTCTCGCTGTCTCTTTGTTCTGTTTCCTGTCCCTATTTCGTCTTTCTGTCTCGGTCCCGCTCCCTGTGCCACGTTACGCCGGGACTCCCGGGCGAACTGTTCCCTGCAGCCGGGACAGCACGCGGAGCTCCTGCAGCGGCAAGAGCTGGAACTCGGGTCCGGGAGAGGCGCCTCGGCCCCGGGGCTGGAGCGGGGCAGCTCCGACCCAGCGGCGGCGCTGAGTCGGCGCGGGCGGGGCCCGCGGTGACGGCGGCAGCTCCGGCCCGGGAAGCGCGGAAGCTCCGAGCGCTCCGGCCCCGCGGCCCCACAGCCCCGTCCCTCACGGCCCGGCACGAAATGGCGCCAGTGCGGGGCAGGAGCCCTCGGGCTGCGGCAAGTGATGTGTCCCTGCCCTGCCACATGCGGGAAGCCGCTTCATCTGGTTTGGGGTGACTTGTCCCAGAGCCGATGACGAACCGGGGAGTTGCAAAAACCCGTGGAGTGGATTCAGGGAGAGTCTGGATTTACACCCAGTTAAGGACGTTCGTCGGTCTGTTCGTCGGTGACTCCCCTCTGGCAGAGCTCATTGAGAGAGTTTTAAATGAGATTGGAACCGGGGAGGGAATAAGCCGGGGAGGGAACAAGGCAGGCTCACTTGGGATAAGTCTGGGGGCAACCTGCCGATATTAAAGGGAGGGTAGCAGAGGGAAGAAGTGCTGTCTTCAAACGTCATGAACCTGGAGCAAAACTAGTGGGAAAAGCAGGTTTCTCACTGGAATGCTGGGAGACAAAAAGAGTACCAAGGAAAGGCACTTGCACTTGGCTCTTTTATGCAGCCTTGATAGCGAGGCTTATGATAGCAATTTCTGTAAGCAAGACCCAAGTGCCTCTGCACTCCCAAGCACAGTGCTGCCTCCCAAAACAGATCCACCCTTCTCCACTTCTGCTCCTTCCACACCAATGCAGAACGAGGAAATTCAACAGCGGGCAGATTCAGGACTTCATGGGCAATGGGAGTTTTTTGGGGAGCCCTAGCAGAGAGAAGAGACTGGTGGGGATGTGAGGTCACAGAACCCCATTTGATGTACAGTCACAGAGCCCCACTTTGATCTGCTGTTCAGTGCCAGCTCTGGACACCTCTGAGGCAGCAGCAGTGGCAGCAGCAGCAGCAGCAGCATGTTGCGAGCACTGGGGGTCGTGGTCCTCACCTGCTGCCTCCCCCTCTTTCTGGTGGCCCTGCAAGCCCAGGATGCCCAGTCTGCTCCAATGCAAGGGCAGGGAGCAGGTAGGCAGGCAGGGGCCAGCACCCACCCCGGGCTGGCGGCAGTGTGGCCAGGGCGAGGACTGGGTGAGCCAGGAAGGCAGCACGGTGCAGGCAGTGGGGCAGACACAGCCCGGAGAGGTGTGGAGGGGCTGCAGCTGCTTCAGGGATTGTGGGGAGAGAGGGTCCTCATGATCAGGGAGGTGGGGAGTGGCAGTGCAGGGCCAGAAACTTGGCACTCACTTATCCATCACACGGCAATGGTTATCCAGCCTCGAGGCTGAGCTCCAGGACTGACCCACAGGCAGGTTGCGTGGGCACATCTTGGCTTTTGCTTCCTTTCAGAGCTGCCAGCTCATAGTCCCAAGGGCAGCCAGGCACCCCCACAGCTGTGAGAACACAGACCTGTCTGTGTGCCCTGTCATTCCCTGACCCTCTTACACATTCTGCTCTTGAGGTGTGATGGTAACTTCTCGTGGGTGTTTGCTTGTAGATGTGGCCAAAGGAAGGCCTCTTCCAGCTCCTGAGCCAGATTCCATGTTGATTCCAAGCTGGTATCTCAAGGGTGAGTAGTCAGGCTCTGCTATTTCACAGAATAAAGACCCCTTTTTAGCGTGTTGTTCATGGGAAATGTATCTTCATACTATATCCTTGATAAATCTAAATAGGGAAGAATTCCCACGAGTTCCCTGAAGAATTCTCTGAAGCACACCCCGAAATTCCAGAGGATGTCCAGACAGACTTGGAAGAAGCTCCATCTGGTCAGCAATATAACCCACTCTGTCAACTGTAGGACCACGCAAGCTGAGTTTCTTGGTTCTTGTAGGGATGTGCTGTACCCTACAGAGCAGGAAGTGATCAATCATAGCCTCGCTGCAAGGACACTCCATTTCACACCTTGCGTGGGCTGCTGAGCCAAGAGACAGTCCAGCACAGCTCCTGCTCCCAGACGGGCTTCCAGCTGAGAGCCAGGGGCAACTGCTGCTGCACTTGTACCATTATTGGCCAGAGCTGCTCTGTGCAGATGTTGATATCCAGGTGTTGGGAACAGGGCTGTGCTGAAATTGTGTTTGGCTCATGCACAGCCCAGCATCAAGGCAGAAATGGGCAGTGGGCTCCTCCCTGCTACTTGCCCGGGTGCCCAGGACATGGTACCATGTTCCTGATGAGCTACAGTTACTTCTAATGAAACTGTCCCATGTTCTTTCTAAAGAGATGGAGCCTAAGGCTGTGCAGAAGGAGACCTTCCAGATGGGAGGAAGTGACAGAGTGCCAGTCTCAGGGGAAGAAGGAGAGGCAATACAGGGCACCAGGGCACCTGCTCAGCTTCAGAGATGTCCTAGAGGCTAGTGCTCGGGAGATGCTGGTGTGTGAAAAGAGGAGTATTTTAGTGTATCCCTGCAGTGCTCTCCATGGATGAGAATCCATGAACTGCAGGTCCCCAGCACACAGCCCTGGCCTGCAGCCTGAAGGAACAGACTGGGCAGTGCTGGTGCAGCTGCTCACTGGCACAGAGGCTTTTGTCCAGGAGAACCTGAAGGGTTCCTTCTTATCCCCTGGTCCTAAGACACCAGAGCCAGAGGCACCAGACCCTTGAGCATCTTGAAGCACCTGAATCTGAGACTACCCATAGCGCAGAGCACAAACGTT